CCCCACCCCCACTGTTGCTTTTATATGTTTGTGTTTGAGACCTACATAGCAATTTAGATGTCTCGCTTCAAATGCCGTATTATTTAAACATCACTGGAGCTTTTCTGTTTTCTGCTGTTTGTTTTTCTCAGCTCAGACAGATTGAAGATTCGCGGCTGTAAATTGGTGTTTCACGCGGTGCTTTTATGCACGCTTTTGTCTTTGTCTCCCCGTTAAATATGTTTTGTTTGCTCTGTTGTTCTTCCCCTGCTAGGGAATTTCCCCTAAAGTGGAGTTTGCCACAACATCGGTCATAGAGGAGAGTGATGGGAGAGGGAGTTGGGCTGCTTCACCTGTAAGTGCGTCTTTCCAATATATCTTTTGAATCTTAGTTTGCTGCTGGCATAAATAAATGGGGGTTTGTGCTGAGTGCATTAGTATGTAAGTGTTGACTACAGCCACGGCACTGAAGATTGATCCCTGGAGGACTCTAATGAGTGGTATCACTTACCATCACATTTGTCTGTTTCCACTATACGTACCCGTCCTCTATTGTTGCCATGGCTACTGCATCTATCTATCTATCTATACCGGCAGTGATTCAAGGGTATTTGTTGTCTCTTTGTGAATGTAATTATGGGGAGGTAGATCAGTGATGCTGATTGCGAGGCTTCTCACACATCCTGGACTTTTTGCACAACAACCTGTCAGATACTTTTCTTTTTTTTTTACACAATTTATGCAGGTAGTGGTTTATTTGTATTTCCAGCATTCTGCTTGTGAATTTAAAAGTCATACATGTTCATAACCTTTGCTGCAATCATATGTTTTGATTTAAAGCAGTGAGACTGAGTTTTATCTGCGTACACATGGGATTTGAGTGAAAAGATCCAACATCCAATTCTGGACTCAAAAAGAGTTTAAAAATTAATTGTACAATCTGCTAGCAGCATATAATCTCGCATGCATTGGTTGGCATTTTGTTCCAAACAGACTAGCATACATTTCCCAGGTGCAGAAACCTAAGCTAAGCTATTAGTTTGAATGGGATGGCACTGACAGCAAAGCAGATTGTCAGATTGTTCTGCAGTGGCCCCTCAGGGGGATGTCTGGATCAGAGCACCGCTGTGGCTGTCAGACAGTAGGATTTCTCCATTTTCTCTGCCCCTAATGGCTTCTCAGCATAGGCATCTTCCTGACGACTTGTCTGTCCTGCTGACAAACCATGTCGTAAACTAACAGAGCTTCAGGAGGAGGGAGACTTCTACAAAACATCCTGAACAGCACTAATCAGAGTACGCTCACTCGTAATCTGGGCCTTAGCTTAGTTCTGTTCTTTTACTTGTACTGTCGTCATTTTCTTTTCATCGTTTTCCTTTAAATTCCTTTTTCTTTCTTTCATCTAAGGTGAATTGTGATGACAGTGTAAGTAAGTGGTCTGCCAGTCCACGTCTGTGAAATATATCAAACACCCTTAAATGGATTGATAAAAAATATTTGTTTTAATTTATTTTAGACTATTCCTAAATTTGAGTCAGATACAAATATTTGGCTGGTTGGGCACATTTTTGGATTTTCAATAAAACAAGTAACATAAAATAAAGAAGGCTGGTTCTGTTCTGGGGACGACTGTGGAATCTCAGGAGATGATGGTGCAAAGAAGGATTTTACAAAAAATCAAGAACATTGTGGACAACCCTGACCATCCTCTTCATCAGATTGTCATAGAAAGACAAAGTGTCTTCAGTCGGAGGCTTCTTCAACTTCGCTGTAATACAGACCGCTACAGAAGATCTTTCCTGCCCACAGCCATCAGCATCTACAATAAGTTTTTAGTTAAATGAGTTACAACAACACCTAATTTCCCTCTGGGATCAATAAAGTATTTTTGAATTTGAATTTGAATTGAATTTGAACATCATCTTGATGACTTTACATTTGTAATGAGAGGGACCAACAGGCTCAGGCATTAAAACACTGCTAACCTAAAAGTAACCAAAAAGTTTACATTTCCAATTAGAAATAAAATGTTTTAATATCTTCTATTTGTGACCCATCACATCGAAATGAGGATTAAGTCCAAAAGCGGAATGTGAAAAAATAGGCATTTTGTCAAAATATAATGAATTAACGCCTTATCAATGTATCATTTGAATGAAATGTCTGAAATATAATCCTAAAAACATTTTTGATGCATTTTTTGAGCAGTAGCAACAAAAAAAAAAAAAAACTGATTTTGAGGAAAAATTAATTAAAATTTTGAATTTTTCCATGTGAGCTAATAATGTTTTTGTTTCTTTCCAACTGGGAAATCTTAATATACAAATACTATTTGAGGTTTCCTTTTCATATTAACATCAAAAATTACTCAATAAATTTACATAAAATTGGGATTCAGACCAAACAGTAATGTATTATCATAACCAACAAGACCAATTAAGTCATATCTCTGGATAAGCTTACAGTATGATATCAAAATGATCCAGGTATCAAAATGTAGCTTTTAAAACCAGGAATCTGAAAATGTAGTTAGGTCATTTTGAACAAATTTGACTTAATTCTCATTTCGATATGATGGGTCACATATATATTCAGCCATTTTCTTTACCTGCTTTCTCCTTTAAGTCGGAGGGAGCTGGTGCCGATCTCCAGAACTCCCTGTGAGAGGCAGCTGCATCACAGAGCCTAATGTTTACTCTGTGATAGTGTTGTAGTCAAGACCACCAAGTCAAGACCAAGATCTCGTGTCTCGAGATCGAGACAAGACCAAGATCAGAAAAAAACGAAACATACCTAGTGTCGAAAGATGGAGTATTTTGTACACGTTAATATATAGAGCTAATATTGACTAAATCTCAGCCAGTAACAAAATTACTTAAATAGCAAAGAGTCGGGTTTGAATTTGAATCAGTAGATACATTTTAAATCCAATGAAAGCAAAAATGTTAACAAATAAATTGGACAATAATCTGGCTATTTAGTGATATTTCCACAGTTGTGGTCTTGACTGGTCTTGAAATAAAATTCCGAGTCCTCAGTGTCTGAGACCGAGACAAGACCAAGACCATCAAAAAGTGGTCTTGAGACCGGTCTCAAGTACTACAACACTACTCTGTGATTTGCTAATTTTATCCTCGTGCATTTTCTTTTCAGGTCAAAATTTTGACTTTTTGATTAGTATTTTATGAGATCAGTTAATTAAAGCCAGTCATTATCATATGATTCCTAGTTAGACTTTTTTAGTTCTCCTCCATAAACTTTAGCATGTTCAAATCATCACAGTAAAGACTAAATCAGGTTAGCTCTGTGACTGTGAACTACATCATAAACATTCATGTCAAAGCAGCTTCACAGAGAGGGATGATCATTAATTTAGTTATCAACACCCCGAGCTATGGTAAACAATGTTTTCTTTCCCAAAAGTCAAGTGATTAAAAAAAAAGGCTAATCACATTAGTCAAGACTTTTGTCCAGGTGACAGAAAATATGACTTTAAGTGGCCATTCAGCAGAGAAAAACCAACAAAAGAGCAGGTAGGAGGTCATATTTATCAGATTGTTGTCAAATTGCAGCTTTGATGATGATTTATTCATCATTTAGTTTCTCTTAAAAATAGTTTGAATGTGCTGTCATTTTTCTAATTTGCATTTAAATTATCTTTATTTTACAGGCAGCTACGGCCTTTTTATCATATTAGGCTAGAGATGGCCATCAAATGCAATTAACATTTTATCTTAACTTATTTATCCCCGGTTGGCATTACCTGCAGGAAGTGAGATATTGCGTTAGAGAATGATGTTAGTGGCCATTAGAGTTATTGAAGTAATTCTGCAGAGGTTGTCTCCATGGCAGTGCAGACTGCCAGAGCTGTTGTTGTTATAACACTTAAGTGGAATCATTTTAGCTAATGGTTTAATGGTTTTGTCCAGTGAGAGCAAGTCTGTCAAGAGTGAGAGCCGCTGTCTGGCTAAAATGGGCGGCGCGTTCAAAAAGGAGCAAAATATAGTCTTCAGAGAAATTTGAATTACTTTAAGGCTGTGTCACACTACAAGATTTTAAAACAGTCGGCCAATTTTCAAAGACTGAGAGAGCCCACACACGTGAGGATAAAAAATCATGGATATACCAGGTTTGGTCCTACAGTGTGTGGTGTACAGTCACACGGCAAGAGACAACACACCACACACTAAAAGATATTTCATTCATGAACATTCAGATGTCAGATATTACTGTAAATCATGCGAGACTTCCTGAAATCTCGCGAGAATTCATTTGTCAGAGGAAAAATCTCACGTGACCTCCAGAGAGACGTGTGTTCAGAGTAAATAAACATTTGCAACAAGGAAGAAATAATGTTGATCGTTTGTGGATTATTTTTACCAGAGGAAAAACAATTCCATAGGACTTTTAACATCCAGCAGACTTTCTGGTGAGTCATGACAGTTTTTTTGTCCTCAGTATTTTGGAATCCCCTCTGTGTTTAAGTCACCTCGCTTTCTGATTGGCTAACACGTCTCAGTCACAGGCTGCAAGCTCGGGTGAACACTACATACAGTGTAATATCGGGCCAAAAAATCAAACATGTTGAATATCCTTGATTTGAGGTTGGAGCGGTCCCGACGTCCTTCCAAGCTGACTAGATCACTCTTAACTCACCACCCACAGCAGGAATATCTGCTATGATTATCTTTAGAGCCATCACGATAATCTGGACTTCCTTAAGATTGTCCGAAGGGCAAAAATCAGCATGTAGTTTGACTCAGGCCTTAGATGTTGTGTTATGTTAACATGCCTGCAGAGAAAACTTGTTCATTCAACATTATTCCTTTCTGTTCCTGCAAAACAGACTTGTTGTCTTTCCCCAGTGAAGCCGTCTTTAAGCTCCTCTCAGCAACGCTCGGCAAAACAGTCTTCATCAAACGGTGGACGCCTTCCCAAGAACTGCACCGGACGGAAGGACATGAGGGAGAAGCTTCATGTGGAGACCAACGTCTCAAACTCTGCAGTGATGTCATCAACATCCAGGCGTTCTTCTCCCTTTGCACCGCCGCCTGGCTGCGGTCCTCAAAAGAGCGAGAAGGACAAAAGACATGTCAGTGCTGGGTACCAACAGCCCACAGTGTCCTCCAGGACCCGAGCCCTGTCCCCCTACACGCACCGCAAAATGTGCCAGCTCTCCGAGGACTCCAGGCAAAGACTCAGCCACCTCCAGCTGGGGCCTCACCGCTTCAGGAAGGAAACACAGATCCAGACGCCTTTCCTGGTCAGTGACATCACGTCCCCTCCTCCAAACTACAGCATGATTAACGGTCTGTTTAAGGCCGGCGGTGGACGATTTTAGTACATTGGGTTTATAAGATTAATGAGATTTTGAGTTGCTGTAGTTCAGACCTCAGTGGAAACCTCCAAATAAATGTAACTTAATCTTTGAAGCAGATTAAATGAGGGGTGTAGTAGTGAGAGAGCAGTGTTAATCTCTTTACCTGTTAATGGATTTTGACGTCATAAATGTACTTCAGCTATATGTAGATGGAATATGGTCAATTATCCTCACTAAGAGACTTGAGCAGGCTTTAGAAAGACGCAGTTTGTATTTAAACATGAACACAGCTTAATTATAATTGTATCACTGGTATCTGAGATTTATAAATAAAAATGAGTTAGTTTCTTCTGCAGCTTCAGGGAGGAGCAAAGTGTTGATGGAGAAGAACAACACGGCCCCTCCCCTCTGCTCCCCACTGTGTTCCTGCTGCTTTAACATCAAATTCAATCCTAAATTATGAGCATCAAAGTCCACTTTGGCTCCATTAATAGAAAAAAAATTAAGTATTGTTTTTTTTTTTTTGGTCACACACATTATTAGAATTTATTTTAAAACAATTGTTTTATTTAAAACAAAAGCTTTCTTCTCTGCTTCTGTATTTCCTGTGGGTTGATCTTCCTTCTATAATTAACCCTCATTAATTGTGAGTCAAGCTGCAATTAACAAATAGACACTTAATGAAGTAGTTTAGTTTCGTAGTAAATGCTTTATCAGTGCAGATTTCAGACCTTCATCCTGTACAGTATGTGTGAGAGAAAGACGTTCTGATTTTATGCAGGTTGGTGTGAATAAATATCTTCTAGCCTTTTTCTTGATAAATGACTTGGTCCTAAAATGACAGATAAATAGCTCTACAGTAAAATTTCACGTTGTACAAACTGAATTGTACCGTTGTGATAAATGCAAGTGTTTATTATTCCACAGTGCAGCAGCAGGAATTTCCCTGGTTTCATCGTGGCATTTACAGATTTAAATTGGTCAAATCTGGGCTTAATCTAAGGTTGCTGCTGCAAACCCGCTGTGCAGCCAGCTGTGCAGTGTTATGACGAAAATAAAACAGCGTAGCAGCAAATGACTGTATGTTGGGTGTTGTTGCAGGTCTCTGGCTGCAGTAATACCTCTGCCATGGGAACACCTTCCTCCGTGTTAAACAGCAGCATGCGGAGACGCTCCGTCACGTTTGCAGACGGTCTCACGGGTAAGTTTAATTAAATCATCTGCTATTAAACAAGTTACTTATTCTGGTGCAAAAAAATCACTTCTTTTTAAAGTGTTGTTAATACTGGAACTATTTAAATTTCTAACAATTTCTAACATAGACATCAGGCCCAGAGCTGTCTCCTTCTTGAACTTGGTCACCTGTTAACACCCCCCACCCCCCACCCCCATTCTCTCCCTTGATTTAAGATTTTACTGCAGTATTCACATTGTACATACCACTGTGTTAGAGCTGGGCGGTATGACCTCAAATTCATATCACGGTATAAATTGAATCCCTTCATGGTAACGGTATATATCACAGTAGAAAATTATCATAAACAGCAAAGATAATGTAATTTTTAAGAGTTTTTTTTTGTAATCTTAATTAAACCCAGCATTTTTGCTTTAATGTCTGCCTTCCATACAATGAGCTTCTGCCTGCTGAACTTATCAGCTGCTGCTCTGCTGCGCGCTCATCTTCATCATCTTCATCATCAGAGCAGAAGCCGACTTTAGGCTACATTAGCAAGATGGATTTATGACTGAACGAAAGTCCACGTCTTTTTAATCATCTCTGTGGGTAACAATACATCAAAAACAAAACAAAAAAAATCTCCGACAACTAGGGTGTGAAAAACTACGGTTGTTAAAGCTTCGCTCTGCACGACGTGCAGCGGCAGGGAGGGAGGAAATTATCCCGCGACACAACGTAACTTTTCTACAGCGGGAGGAGGAAATTTGAGGATTTAATGCCTCTATACGTGTTTTAAAACGCTATAATTTCTTCGTTATATTTCAAACTCCTGCTCAGTTGTCTCTGCACTCGCAGCCCTGTTGACACAGGTGTGATGACGTAATGACGACAGGACGGTAGAGGGTTAAATTTCTACCATAGGCCGACGTCATATCGTTTCTACCGCCTACCCCATATACCATGCAGCCCTATTATGTGTATAAACTATACTTTACATAAATAAAGATTCAGACTTCAGACTACCAGCTTCACTTCAATCTGTACATCATGCATACACCTATCCCACCCGCATATCAGTGTATTATGTTCAAAAAACAAAAAACATTTTATCTGCCCTTCTGGTTTGATGCTGAACTGCAGTTCATTGCCTTGTACTTGTACTTGTACTTGTACTTGTACTTGTACTTGTACTTGTGTAATGGCAAATTTAAATTATAAAAATGTACAGCCATCGCACAGTTTCCCTGTATTTGGTTGAAAGCGTTCCACCAAATATAGATTTCTGAACTTGTCCTGAGTTAAAACATTAGTTTTGTTCCTGAATGAATATGAACTTGTTTTCTGTGCATTATTMRAGGTCTGAAAGCTCTGCATCTGTCGTCACTTTGACCATTTCTCATTTTCTGCAAATAAATRCTACATTTTTACTTGGAATTTCAGACATGTTGTCTGTAGTTCATAGAATAAAATAACAATGTTCATTTTACTCAAACATATACCCATAGAGAGTCAAATCATAAAAACTGATCATTTTAAAAGAGTCTCTTAATTTTCCATAGCTGCATATCTTTATTTACTGGACTTAAGCAGCATCTCTGTTGTAATCTTTGTAAATGGTTTGTGGTGTTAATTATAAGTTTGAATAAGTTTAAAGAATATATTTAATTGTTAAAAAGTTGTTAATCCAAGTCTTCCATTGTTTGTTTTTGTGCAGATTCTTCTCTCCTTGGAAGTTATAGACCAAAAACAGTACAAGTAAGTCTGAGCTTTTTTTTAACTGGTATTAACTCTGAGCCACCATCTGCATAAAAGTGCAGAGGAGAGAAGTGTTGACGATTGTTGAGAAGATTGTTTTTACAAACTCTCTAAAAGCACTCGGACTTATCCACCCTGTTATCAGGATGTTTACAGTCAGAAACACACCAGCTTTGTGTATCATTCATCATCAATCATTTTCTCTGTCTGTACATAGAAATGATAGTGGTCAACTTTAAAAGTTGTCATAACAAACATATTTATGATGAAGACGTTGTGTGAAATGTGAAATAAATCAATGTTTACGATAATAACCCAACAGCGCAGGTTTGTGCTTCTGGTTTTTACTAAACTCTTGAAGTGAAATAGTTTCAAGGGCAGCACTTTTTTTTTTACAAGTTGTCTAAAAAACCATTTGACTTTACCAGGTGGAATCAGCTTCAGTGAGGGTCCAGTCGCCTCCTGGGACCTCGTCTAGACACGAACCACAGATCAGAAGCCCTGCGAGAGGTTCCTCCTCAGTTCAGTCCAGCTCGGCTGGGTCAGACTCCAGGAGCCATTCCCTCAGAGACAGGTGCATCCTTTTTCTGCACATTTCTAATCTGAATGAATTGACGACCTAAAATATTCCAGTAAAAAAAATAAAACTCTAAACAGTCAGGTTTAACCCGCTAGTACACACAGCAAAACATCAAATATTTTTTGAATGAAAACTTAAGTTCTTTCACTTATTTTCTACAAAAAGTCAAGATGACTTCTGAGAAGGATGGCTGTGAAAACTGTCCTCTCTGTCGCTCCAAAGCAGCAGGAGCGACCATAATCCAATTTATTTTCTTTTTTTTTTTTTTTTTTTGTGATGTTTGCTCTGATTTTGTTGAGATCCATCTGTGCACATCATTTGTGTTTGCTCAAAAGATCTCGAAAGCAAAACTGGCACCTGTATGAGCTCCCATTTACAGAGTTCAGCAAATATAAGGCAATCCCACGAGGCGCTGGCGCATCCCGCCGCTGCTGCCGCCGCGCAGGTTCTGTGTGTGTGTGTGTGTACATACACACCTCATCTTTAATTTTGATCACACTCGACGGGCGGGATGACTTCCCCTCCACCTTTTTAAATTACAGAAGCTGATGTCTTGTCATGTCCGTTCATTACTGACAGAGGAGGGAAAACAAAGAGGAAATGGTATTGATTTGTGTTTCAGCTCGAGACTGATGCATTTGACCTGATGTACACTTTAATACGTTCAGAGAGACCTTGTCATCAATCACAGCAGATGTTCGGTTTTGTTTGTTTGTTTCCACATGCCCCCCCCCCACCCCCCACCCTCTCCGTCCGTCCTTTCTGCTCGGTCCATAAGTAAACATTAAAATCAATAGACAATCTTAAACTGGAAAGCAAATTGCGGGAAATGAATGATACTTTCCTCTCAATTGGAAACGCGACAGGATTTGCTGGGTGGGAGATTAGAGTTGGCCTTTGTAGATTCTCTCTGACAGGGAAAGGAACACGTCTTTCCACAAATCTTTGATCTATAAAGAAAATGACAGATGCCACTGGCAGCTTTCGCCCCCTAAGCCTCGGAGTCTCAGTCTATTCATGTCTCTGGGTGATTTGTCCTTGATGACTTTTTGAAACAGGTAGTGAGTTTATCTGATTACAGATCAAAAGCGTCTGTCCCAACACTGCCAGCAGAACCAAGACACAAGTCGATCTGTCACTCATCTCCCCTCCACTCTCGACAAATAGACGTGGATGACAGGCTGGATAGTGGGATTTATTTTTCTCAATTGAATCTGGTTTGGCCTGATGAACTCCGGCTAATGTACGGTCAGACAGAGCCAACACAATCATCATGTTACTTTGTTTTCAAACCGATTTCTAAGTAAAGAAGCCAAAATCAGAATAATTGTTGCGATAAGAGGCCGTGCCACTCCTAATTGTGGTTTAACATTTTAAACTGTGTTCTACCCTCCTGTCTCTGCTCTAATCTGTGGTTACAGCACAGACTAGTGGACAAACAGGAATGCCACTCGCTCATACAAAAGTGAGAGAAGCAAACTTTTTATTTGAAGTTATTTTTTCCTGATATGTGTTTTATTAAACAAATATGATAAACCTAATTGTACCACGGAGAAGAGAAAAAAACAAATATTGAGTAATATTAAATATAGAGGTTCCTGAACTATAACAATATAGAAAAAATAAAAAAAACCTGCACAATAAAAAAAAATACATTTATTGTTTTTAAATGCAAATTTCACTGTGTCCTAAAATAATCACAACTGTCCAGAAAATCATTTGTCCAAATAGTTTCTCAAAAATGCCTGTCACACCAAAGGAAGGTTTATAAATAAGTTAAGTTCTACTGAATTAGGAGTAAAGCCTGTTTTATAAATTAGCATCAGTATCCAGTAGTTTCACTTGGTCAGCTCGTAGTTCAGGGCCTGTATTTTGTCTTAGAGTGGAATTTTAAACTTAAGTGATGAAAATTTCTTAGATTTACTCCTACTCTCAGTGAGTTATCAAAATTCTTAAGTCGAAGAATCACTCTTACTTTCCGGACCAAGCGGATGATGTGTGTGTGTGTGTATATATGTGTGTGTGAAGGGCGTGTTGTGTGCGGGCTGTTAAGAGGAGAGAAGGGTGCAAACTCATTTCATCAAGCGCTGAGAGACAAAAAAAACTTTAAAATGGAGTTTGAAAAAAAACCTTTGAGATTTTCTTTGTTTTCATGATGCAAATGAGGAAATATGTAATTTATGACAATCAGTATAACGTGACATGTACGAACACTAATGTGTTGAAAGTTAAGATATTCTAGGATTTTCACAGTTTTATCTTGACATTTATCAAAATATTCTTGAAGAAATCTGATGCAGTGATCGGTCCATGCCGGGGTTTTGTAACGTCATCCAGGATCGGCTTTGTGGAACAGCAAAGTGTCGTAAATCAGCTGTAAGATCGACACTTAAGAATTACTCTTACACTTTGCTTAAAGTCAGACTGACACACTTCATAATTATTTTTTAGTCTCAGCTTTTAGCAAGAATTTTTTATACTGAAGTCTGTTTTCTACAGTATTAGTAAATCTAAGATGTTTGATAATTACAGGCCTGATAGTGATCCATTTGTTAGATCTGGTGTAGCAGGAAAGTGCAGCACTGAGAGTTTAGAACTATTTACTGATCTGATGGGGTTTTTAAACAAGAGCAACTTAATGTTTTTAACATTGCAGAAAAATGCTTTTACTGCTGTTTATGTAAACTGTCTATAAAATTTTGTTCCTTTCTCAGATTTCAGACGGGTCCGTCCGACTGGGAGCAGATCCATGACAGAGTCCAGAGAATCCTGCAGACACACAAAACCACCTGGAACCACTGAGTGCGCTGACCTCAGGTTTCTGTCATAAAGGCAGTCATTTTGAAAACACAGTTGTGTTTGGTCACATTTATCAAAGTGTTTAATTCTGATACTCTTGAGTCATTTCTGTTCTAAGAATCGACTCTTGCTGAATGACATTCTTCATTTTACAAGCGTAAATAACCACTTTAAAAACTTCTCTAACAGATTTAAGTACAATTTACAAGGACCAAAGTAACGGGGTAAAAATGTAATTTCACCAAAGGCGGATAAAAATGCTTTTATTGTGTTATGTTGTACAGCACGTAGACAGAAAACTGAATGTCAGTGATTTGAATTAAAAACTACATTATCTTCAGATCAGTCTTTCATACAGTTAGTCCATTTTAACTCTTTCAAATGTCAGGATTCAGTAAAGATTTGTTTTTATTTCAATGAAGTAATAAAGATCAGTATTAATAAAAAGCCTTAGCATCAGTATTCATTAGATCTTCACTTCTTGTGGAATTTCTTCTTTCTCCTCCTCCTGTCAGCTCCAAGTGCTGCTTTCTCTGCCATTATCTGCTGGTACCTCTTTTTGTTTTTGCTGAAAATAAAGAAAAATGTTTTTATGAACTAACAAGAATATTGACACTTAATATTCACTGAATGCATCTTGTTTCACCAAATATATCCGAGTCATCACATCAAACCAAGGAATGTGTCTCAAAGTGGTGTGAGGAGAAGCAGGCAGCTATAGTGCAATGGTTAAAACATTTGCAACAATCAAATTTTTAAAAAAATGAATACCGTATCTACAGGTTGTTTAAATGAAATGTAATCAACAAAAACATTTTAAGCCCTTTTTTAAGCAGCAGACAGGTAAACATGATTGATTTTGTGCAGAAAAATATTGTAATTTTATCCTGCAAGCATATAAAACTTGTCTTTCCAGCTGGTAAATCTTAATATCAAATTATTATTAGAGGTTTCCTCTTTAAAAACAAAAATACTAAAAATAGCATTAAGACCAAATATCCTGATTAGGAGGACAAATCAAACCACATCTCTACAACAGTCATCAGGTGTCAAAACTATGCTTAAAAAGCAGGAATCTGACAACATGCTTCAGTTATTTTGACCTAATTTATTCCTCAGTTTGATGTGATGCATCACAAATATTATACAGTAAATGCTACACAAATGAGCATCTATCACTCAGTAAGACAAACAAAAACCTTTTTATTGTCTTTTAAATGCTTGTAATTGTTTTATATTGTCTGAAAGATGTCTTAAATTTTCCTCTTTATTAAATATTTTTGAACAATTCCCTGACTAGGAGTTTTTCTTGGCAGATGAGCAGCACATTGTTCAACTTCAATTTAATTAATTAGCCAACATGTGATTAGTACTTGGCCATCGCCCAGGGTTGTATCACTATTACACAGCACCTTGAAAGTATGTGCTAACTTCAGAGGTAAGAACTCTGATCATGTGTTAAGGTCAGGAACGTTTGTCATGCTGTATTTTGTATCACTTACTTGAGTCAAGTCAAAAACAAGAAGCATCCAGTGAAGGTTAAAGCTACCAGTTTGTCTAACTTACTGTCTGAAGTCTGCATCAGCCAGCAGCTCCTCCACCATAGTTCTCTTCCTCTCCTTCTTAGGGATTTGGGAATGGTAGAAGTCAGCAGAGTTATCCACCACTGTGCCGATCTGCATCATACACACACACACACTTACAGCTGAATGTGGTATCAGAAAGCCTCACATGATTATTCAAACTTCAGTTTTTATGTAAAATGTTAAAACGTTTTTATCTGTGCATAAAGAGAACTCTAAAGAGCACACAGGTGGAGTGAACTGACCTGGAAATACTTGGGAAAGCCATCTCTGTCGTTCTTCTTGTAAAACCTCTTAGGATCCAGAGAGCCTCTCATCTTCAGGACTTTGAGGTCTCCTTTCAGCTCCTGGGTGAGCTCTGGGGCCTTCATGTTAAACCAGCCATCTCCTGTTGACATCTCCCTCTCTGCCTGGGGAAAGGAAAAACAAGGATGTCAGTGATTTCTAAACCAACTGCAATCATCTGAGGAGTGATGGCTGCACATCTCAGAGGTTTGCATTCAGGGTCAAATATGTTGTACAACTGCACAAACAAGTCAAAACATCATATTGTGTAACTTACTCTGTGTTTGAGCTTTAAGGCTTGTTTTGATTCACTATATGGAGGCACTGCATCCTTCTTTTCAAAGTCTGGTCCAATCACACTCTTCTTCATCACCTGTAGAGAAGGCAAAAAAAAAAACAGCACAAAACTCTATAAATGCTCAATGACTCAGAAAATAAAGGTCAAAGTCAGAAAAGAAGTGAATGTCATCTGTAAAATCTTAAAGTTCATAATTCATTCGTTGCCTCAGATCACCTTCAGAGAGGGAGGAAAAAAAATCAATCGTTAATTTACCTCATCTAGGTTCTTCTTTTCCTTCAGCTTCGGCAGTGAACTGGAGACGGGTTTTGATTTGCTGCCATCAAAACTGATGTACAAACCCCCGAGCTCCTTCACTCTGATGCCGGGGTCAATACGGCTGGACATCTCTTTTCTGAAATTAATAGGCACAGGGAAAAATCCTTAGGTGCAGCAGCCATGTCTCATTTCTCACCTCCGTTCATTAGAAATATGAATTTGTCAAAGATGGCTTTGACGAGTGCAGCCGGGCTGTCTGCAGAAAACTGGAGCAACAAATCTGACAAAAGATCTACACCAACAGTGTGATGCTTTCTCTACAGAAAAATACACACATGTTCCAACCCAAAGCTACACAGTGGGGCAGAAAACCTGAACATTGGATCGAATATTAAATGTGATGTTACAACAACAGACAGGTGGCTGAAAATAAAGCAGTTTTACAAAACCAACATCATCTAGTAGGCCTGTTAAAATAAAATATGTACCGAGTTCATCAGAGTAATCAGCCAGGTGAAACTAAAAATGTTTTTGTCTTGCACAAATGTTTATTTTGACAAATGTTTTGTTAATATTTCTGTATTTTAAAATCATTTATTCAGTAAAACTTGAGTGAATCATTAAATTATTTATTTTATACTGGAATAGTAGCAAAAAAAAACAAATGTAAACTCATTAAGATCAGCTATTTTTATGACAGATATCAACTAAAATGTTATAATTGTGTTGTTAAAAAAAAGCATCTGAGATTCTAAACTTTCCATCAGAAATTATCTGAATTTTGGTTTAAAGTAAAGCAGAACAAAGAGTTTAAAAAAAGTTCAAATTAACTCAAACACAAATTGCTGGGTTACGAGAAATACTAAAAACAAGCTTCACCTGGGGAAAATGTAGGTCCACCACTATAGTTTTTAAAGCTATATTTTCTAAATGTGCAGCCATACAGCTGCATCACACAGGCATCATAAAACCATACGAGTTGGCTGTCTACCTCAAACTTAGATTTAAAACGGTGCTCGTTCCAAAAAATTTAATCAAACATAAAAGATGGTTGTCCAATCAGAATGTGGTTTAGTCAAGGTTACTCAAGTAGTTTTCCAAATAAACTGAAATGCAGGTCCACACTCAATGTAAACAAAGCCAAAAACATTTTGTTTAGTTTTGTTTGGTTTGTTTATTTTCTGAAATGTTTTGTTGGACTTTATGACTTTGTAACGAGCATCTTTAACATTCTGGCCCTGCCCTCTCGGAGTAAACCCAGAAGATGTTTGGTTGACAGGGTTCCTGCAGATCCTTAAAAAGTCTTAAAAGACAATGAATTCATCAATCCAAAAATAAGGCCTTAATTAGCCTTAAAATGTCTTAAATCAATCTTTCAGAAGCCTTAAAAACATTAATACGTTGTTAGTAGGATGATTTTAATTCATCACAAATATTAAAGTAATTGGTAACATTTATTTATTTAAATATTTACATGCAGACAGTCTCCTTTGACATCACTTCCTGTTACTTATGGTGCGTTCACACCGAACGCGATTTCAGCTTCAAAATCGCAGCCAACGCTGAAGTCTGAAGCTTGTGCACTTTGAGGTCAGACGCAGGACAGTTGTTGAAGCGCCGCACGGCGACAGCCGCCCCGCCCCTCCCTCCTCTGTCGGGCTCCGTTTAATGTCGGACGAGGAAGTGGCTTTGCTTTAATTTACAGACAGCCAGAACGTGTCACGTTCATCAGATAATTAATTCATAATTAATTCACCAGATAATTCAGAGAAGAGGCTCATAGCTGCTTTCAGGACTATTTTTTTCAGTCTGATGAGTCGCTGTCACGCATTGCTGCGGATCAGGACACGACTGCAGGCACTCATTTTAGCTAAAGAGCTCCGCTCCGTCTGTTTCAGGTTAGTGGACATCATTCAGTAAACTGTCCCGTCGGGAAATATGTCACTACGTCACACAGTGGAGTCTCTCTGATTGGTTGACGCTGCGCGTCGAGCTGCAAAAGTTCAGATTTTCTAACTTCAGCGATTTGGACGATTTGGACGATCTGAGCGTTCGACGCTCAGATCGTCCAAATCGTTCAAATCGCGCTGCTCTAATCGCGCTTGAGGCGCCGCAGAACTTCCCGACGTTGCTTGAAGCGCCTCCACCATAGACTTTGCATGTAAACCTGCTGCTCCTGACGCTGAAATCGCGTTTGGTGTGAACGCACCATTAGATGCAAATATCAACAACTGTCCATCTGAGCGACGTGAAATTTGTTTTGTAATATGTTCATAATGTTGTCTTTCCAAAAATGCCTTCACTTTTACAAATTTTGATGCCACCTTCACTTAAGGTTTCATCTACAGCAACATGGGGTTAAGACCCCACTGTGGGTCCTAAAACTCCACATTTTGGGTGATTAAACCGACTGCTAAGAATGTTTTAGCTATGTTTGATGAAAAAGCAGTTAGATCTGGATTAAAACAATTGGTCTATTATCAATATTTGAATACTTCAACCAAAAATACATTGATTCATGAGTTTCTGCCACAGTTTTATTTATTTTTTGTCATTTGTGTTTATTATGAAATTGGTCTTAAATTTAATTTCAGTTGGCATTAAAAAGTCTAAAACTTTCTTTAAACTGTAGGAACCCTGGTTTAGTTCAACACTGGAAACAGAAAAGCTCACAAAATAAAAGGTTTCAAGTTTCTTTTTATAAACTGAAACAACGTGAGGCTGTCATCGTCTGCTGTACTTACAGATGAGCACTTCTGCTTGAAAAGAGGATCTGCGTGTCCTCGTCATCCTCCTCCTCCTCTTCATCCACAAACTCCTCATCTTCCTCCTCCTCCTCCTGGTGTGTCTTGTTAGTGACCTCCTCATCCTCTCTGTAGTACAGCTCATCAGCATCCTGTCCGGGCCGCGTGTCAATCATAAACAGGCCTTTAACGGATTCAGCAGACATGTTGGAAGGTCCTCCTCTTTTCTCTTCTTCCTCTTCACATTCCTGCTCTTCACCAGAGTCATCATCATCATCATCACTGCTGTCCAGCAGGCTGACTGTTTTTGTGCTTTGAACAGGGTCTTCGACCACCTTCTGAGTGTCTGTTTTCAACCTGCTGACTTCCTCCTCTTCCTCAGTCACATCAGCAGCTTCCTGCTTCTCCACGACCTCCTCTGTGGTTTCAGAGGCCTCCTCAGGTGTCGTTACGGCGACAGATGGGCTGGGCTGCGCTCGCTCCGATGGTGGGACTGTTTCCTGCATCATTTCCACATCTGAGGCATCCTCGTCTTTATCTTCAGGAGACAGCTCCTCCTCCTGGTCTTTGGTGATCACTGCAGATTCTTCATCGGCCTTTTCAGCACAAGCTGGTGCAGAGATATGAGACTCCTCTGCAGAGGTGTTTGGAACATCCCTGTTTTCTATCTGTGTGTCTGCGTCACTGGAACAAGGATCGTTCACACCTTCAGATGTTTGGAGGTGACCCTCCTCCAGCAGGGTGCGGTCTTCATCGCCTGCAGTCAGGGTGCTCTCTAACCTGCAGTCAGCTGACTCTGCAGTCACTTCTGGAACGCTGACAGGTTTCCTAGCAGAACGCCTGGAGGCTAGACGCCCCCGACTGCTGGTCCGGGAGTTCGCACGGCTGCTGCTGGGGGTCTCTCCGCTTTGTGTGGAGCAGGGGCTGCCGAACGAGGAACTGATATCCATCGCCTCGATTTCTGAATCCTCAGCTTTGCGACCTGTCGGCTGCTTTTTGTTATTTCTGCTTAAACTGTAAGTAGGTCCAGACTCAAAGCCTTCTGAGTCATAAGAAGGGGTCTCTGTGACGTCTACGGGGGCTGCTGCCTTCCTTCCTGTTGCCCTGGTCTGTCGACCTGTCTGAGGAGACTGGGAGCTTTCTGACATGTCTTCTAAGCTGATGGGAATTGGACGCGGTCGTCTTCTGGACGCTCGTCCTAAGCTGCTGGAGGTACAGCTGTCAGAGTCTGACACCTCAGAACCCACAGTCTGCAGTTTAACACAGGATCTGGTCAGAGGAGCTTTCTTCTGACCTCTTGGAACTCTCTGGGATTTGGACATCACAGAGCTGCAGGACTCAGCTTCAGACCCCAGGTCTGGTTTGACGTCTCTCTCGGCCGGAGCCGAATCAGAACTCTGAGGAGCAAGTTTTCTTCTGGTGCTCCGGCTGCTTCTGAGGCCAGATTTTGACGTAGATGCAACAGAGGAGCACGACTCCACCTCCGAAATTTCCTCATGTTCCAGACTTCCAGCTCGCAGCAGTCTGGTTTTCACCCTGGACCGCGTTACTGGGGGTGCAGTTGTAGAGACTGCCGAGCAAGCAGACTCCACGTCTGATACGTCGGCATCGTGGACCGAGTCCACGGGTGTGGAAGGCAGCGGTGGACTGTGGAGCCTCGATTTTCTGGTGCATCTTTTAGTGGAGGTGACCGGAGTTAAGGAGAGCTGACTGCTGGGCTCTTCACAGGTCTGCTGGACACGACCCTCTGCTTGTTGAGCTGTGCTCCTGGTTCTGCGGCCAGCGGAAGGAGTGGCCTGTGTGGCAGAAACAGGTTCATTAGTAAAACTGGTTCGTTGCAGTCTAGAAGTGAAATCCTGCTTGTAAAGAAAAATCACAACTCATAATCAGCAAATCTGAAGAAGTCTTAAAAATATGAATGAAAACAGAAAATAATCTTTGCTCTTCACAAAAACGGTTTCCATCTCCAACAATACGCCTCGTGTTTGTCTTCAAAATAAAACTACCCAAGTAAAACCTGGTACTTTTATGCACCAAACATTTTTAAAGTTTTATTTTTTCTGATTCATATAATCCAATTAAAATTTTAAAAAGGAGTCACTTTCTGGTGCGACAGACCCCGCCTCACAGCTGATGTGAGCGTTCCTCAGGTGTACGTTTCACAGTGAACATAGGGTTTTCAGACTCTTCTCCAATTATTGTGTTTTTCATCGGTATCCAGGGATATTTCACCCAGATTTTATGATGCAGCAAAGATGATTGTTCACCACATTTTTGATCCAATGATTTCTGAAGTATCTTCTGCAGTTTATAGGTGATGAAACTTATGCACAGGTTTACAGAAGTCAAACAGTAGATATAACATATACTGGCTGACTTTAACGACAATCTAAATGTGAGAACAAACTTCCTAAAAATGTCATCCAATTATCTCAATAAAGAAGTTATGCCCACTTGTTTGTGTCAGAATAATCACAACTTTTCATGATTTTCATTGTTAAACCAGCGCAGGGGAGAAAAAGAGCTACTTTTCGAAACTAAAATTCCCATAATTTCCTTTTTTTAAAATCACAAATCTAGACAATATTGATATCAATCTTAGTTGTTTCAAGCTCCATCCAGCGCTCGTTATAAAAAAAATTCATAGACTTTTACTGTTCGTCAAAATCAATATCATACCTGTCAAGTCTCCCGTTTTGGCTGGGAAACTACCGGATTTTTCCCCTTTCCCGTTGTCATCCCGAATTATTATTTTCCCTTTTCCCGGAAATTTCCCGTATTATAAAATTATTAAAAAAAAAAAAAACATTCCAGTGCCTCTGAATTATGTCACTAGCCTCGCGAGAACTGCCGCCTGCAGTAGCCTGGGTGGCAGTTCTCGCGATGTTAGTGTTGGCAGCGGGAACAAATCCGGAAAAACAAATCAGAGATGGATGAAGTTAACGAGAGAGAAGGCGTTCCTGCCAAAAACGTTAAGACTTTGTGTAAATATCTTGAAAAATGGGACAGYGAATTTACTTTCCTAAAGAAGATTAAGGTGGGGTACAATTATGCGTTTTGTACATAGCTGCCAAGGCTAATGAAGGCATTCCCCACAGCAATGCCAGTTCTGAAAGGGTGTTTAGTATGGTGAGAAAGATTGTTACAGAGAATAGGATGTCATTAGACAACAGCACTGTTTGGGCTTTACTCTCATGTAAAAATCAACCACTCTGGTCCAGCCCACAAATACACTCCTTCCAAAAATGTGTTAAAGGATGCAAAGTCTGCAACAAATCTGTACAATAAGTCCGTGAATGCCAGTGTAGAGCCACATGAGTGAGCACGAGAAATTAAAAGAAAATGTGTAATGAAAATAAAACGTAAATGTTTCACTTAAAGACAATCTATGTGTGTATAAACTGAAAATATATTAAATAAACGTGCTTCAATTCTCTGGTGTTTTCATTTAGGTTCTATTAAAGGAACTACATATGTAAGAATGTTCACAGCATTTCATTGTCAACAAAGGTAAGCTTATCAGATTCTGATCACATAACTGTGGTTTGTAAGTGGCTGACAGGTAGTTATTTTAGATTTCGTGTAAACATGTCTTACAATGTAAGGGGTCCTGGCTAGTGGAACGGCTCGCGTGCCCGGCAGAAAATTTCCCTTATTTTTAAATCCAAAAGTTGACAGGTCTGATCAATATTGATTTGCACATAATATAATTATATACATCCATCAACTCTGCTGTTTGTTCTGGTTCTTATTGTAAAACTCACCGTTCTTAAAACTTTTAAGTCGCAGAAACGATTTTATTTATGTCGTTCACAAAGAAGCTGGGTCGGGCTGATATTTGATTACATGTCCGAACTGCAGGTGTGTAACAACAGATTGAACAATTGACCGTCACTAAAAACTTTGTACTAATTTACCTTTTCGACAGTTTCAACTACATTTAAAATCTGTTAGTAAATTTCCCACTGACCCAGCTCTGCTACGACCAACTAGTTAATCCTGGCAACATATTTTCTGTCACTTTATGAGACGAAACTAGAAAATTTACAGAGATAAACCGGTTGCTTCTGCCCACGTGACGCTTTCAGCAGCTCCGCGCACACGAGGGATGACACGCGGCAGCTTTCCGGTTAACCACGGTTTTATAACTCGACATGAAATCTGTCAACCTGCGGATTTAAACACATCTCTGTTAGACAAACCTGAACTGAAGACGAGTTCTTCTGAGTTGTTTCACTTGAAGAGTCCACACGGAGTCCACTCCTGGTGGCCACCATCTTGGAAGCGAGTTTCTTCTTCTTCGGTCACTTCCGGTGTGAAGATCAGACCTGAATAATCGATCCGCAGAACAGGGGACTGATGATGGCAGTGTTTTATTGAAGTTTTTAATTTTCTATTTTCAATCTCAATACTTCTGTGTCTCACATGCATCACTTTCCAAATCTTAACTTATTTAGACAGAATTAAACAAACAAAAATAATTTTAAATCACTTTAATAAAGCCAAATCATGATATACAGATATGACATTTTAAATATGTGTACAACACAAAGTACTGGCGACCATGTCTAAAAGCTGCATTTAATAAAATAATGTTTTCCATCACAACAAATTACATTTGCCACACATTGTGTTTTCCAGTGCTGTTTTACATCTAAGGGACAAAAACCTCTCTCAGACTAATCTCATGAACATCAGACAGAAAACACGTTGATGCAACAGTACAGTCAGAATGTTATAATCAAATAAAATGATATAGTTACTTATTTAAGCTTACAACGGTCTGCAACAGACTAAAGGACAAAATACAAATCTGGGTTTCAGATGCTGTGTTAGGAATGTTATGTTATATTCAACATGCATGTATAAAAAACAAATCTGTATTTCAGATGTTTTACAAATATATGTATATTTCTTAATCTTGTTTATTTGGTTTATTTTAAAAACAGATTTACCAACAGAACTATAATGTTTTGATTGGACTGTTATTTAAAAGGTGAACAGACATGTAAAAACAGGAGCAGTAGAGAGGCACTTTACGTTAAAACAGTTGAAAGACCTAACCAAGCAGCCAACGTTTTATTAATATATATTATAGTTTCTGCTGTGTTTATACATGGCTGTTAGAGTGCTGCTCATACAGTGGTGTTCCCACCTGTTTAACTTACATTATGCATCTTCTTACAAAGTAATCTTTTTTTCCTGATCTCACTGAGACGATAGTTAGCAACTACATGACCGGCTGGAACAATATTAAAATCAAAAACGTGGAAGATGTGACTCTATCAGGAAGATTAAAACAAGAACTTCAAGATTTCAAGACTGGCAGCTTTCATTCCTCAGAGCTGTATCTTTGCGTGGGAGAAAAAAAAACAGAGGAATCAGCTTCATCCACACGTCTCTCTCTGGCTGCTAGGGGCTCGCCCTGTTCGCATTGACAAGGTAGCCCTTGGACTTGATGATGCCCCTGCTCTTGACGATGACGGAGTAACGGAGGACCCACTCCAGCCTCCAGTCGGCCACGTTCAGGTCCTGCACCGCCTCTTGCACCGCCTCCTGAAACGTGGCTATGGACATCAACTCTAGGGGGCGGAGAGACAACAAAGAAAAAATAATAATATGCCGACAATTAAAAACATGATTTTCTTTTAGAATAATTCACAGAACAGTGAAATCACCCTCATAAATCCAAAATGTTTAAAATATGTTTGCTTTGTTTTTTTTATACACAAAACTACAGTTGAAAATAAATTATATGGTTCACTAAGTACTGAGTCATTTTGTTGTTTTGAACTTTAACCATAAATGAGTTATAATAAATATACATTAGAAAGTTTGTTATTTTTGTCACATGAATGTACATTTTTCTAACGTACTACAACTGAATTTAGTAAAGTCAAAGCTTTTTTGGTCATATTTTTGAAAGAAGTTTCAGTTTTATTTTATAGTAAATAGTGAAACCGTCACCTGTTGACATAAACAAGTGCAGTCTTTAAAATCTAAACTTCATTGATGTTTTTCATCTGAAAGGTGAAAGTGTTTTTGTTCTTGTAGGTCTGTATAAGTGTAGGTCTGCTTAAAGAACAGATACACTAGTTCCACCGCAGCCAACTGATAGCCTTTACTTTGGGTTTATAATCAGCTATGTTCACTTTGTGAATTATACTTTTAATTTCTAAACATTTGTCAAATAATAGAATATTCTTAAGGTGTTTTAAAATATACAAATGTGATAGTGTAGAAAAGTGTGAAGTGAACACAGACTATGACACATGTTCATGTACACCCTGTTGTATTTACTACTGAAGTGTAATTTAGGAAAAACTTGACTGGTTTCTTTACTGGGACCAGTAAAACAATTACAAAACAGCTGGTTTTATCAAATAAAAAAAGATAACGCTTTCTTTTACAGTACCCTTTTTAGCATGTAATTACATGGTAATTACACGGTAATTACATGGTAATAAGATGTAAACTTATGTAATTACACGGTAATTACCATGTAATTACAGCTAATAATTACATAGTAATTACTATATTCATACTAATAGAAACATTATCATTTAATTACTTGGAAAATAATTACCTTATTACCATTTAATTACATGGTAATAACATGTAAATACAATGATATTTTCAGGTTAATTACAACCTTATTTCATTTGATGGTTGCATGATAATTACCATGTAATTACATTATAATTACAACTGTCTTACATATATTTTAAATATATTCATATTATTACTTTACAATTACAACATTATTACCATGTAATTTAATTATAATAAGATGGTAATGACAGAATTTTTTTACCAAATTAGCTTCATCGTGACGCATAAATTGAATAAACATGAAACATTTTTCTTTACTAAAGACATCGATGAGAATCTAATGTAATCTCTGACTAAAAAGATGTTTTCTCTCTCTTGGTTGAACGATTTGTCCGATCAACTTTTTAAATATACTGGCTGGTTTTATTTAAACAACCTCAGAGCTGACTCTGAACAAGTCTGGATTATAGTTAAACAAAATCAGTGTTCACCTTTAGGGTCATTGTGCGTGAGCAGCTGGATGTCAAACTCTTTAGCAAAAGCTGTCAGGTCAGGAGGCATGACACAGCAGGATGCCAGGTTGACCTGATTACTGCTGGGCTTCACCTGGTACAAATAAAAACTCAACAATCAGCTTCACAAACCAGAGAAGAACTGACAGATCTCCATTGTTGAAGGTATCCCTGATTGGTTGTAACATTAGACTTTATTTAATAAACACATATTTTAACTGTAAAATAAATAGTGTAAAATACTGTAGGATGTTTAGTTTTTATAATTTTTAAACTAAAAGTTTAAAAATATATTACACGGATGGGGCCATTTTATTTACATGCAAAGCATTCTGGGTAAATGATGACATGGGTACATCATTGGTGAGAGGCTGCTAGCGAGCTATATCCACCCTGAAGGTTAATCTTGGACAATATCTGACGATTGGCTCTTTTAAATGAAACCAGAGAGCGTTGACAGAGAGGAGAAGGTAGAAATGACTCAGCCTGCAACTGAAAATATGGATGGAGGACCTCAGTTTAGCTTATTTGTCGCGCTAGCGCCGAGCTAATACATATAAGGCAATATAGGCTGTATCCAAAACAACAGACCGGGTCCTCCGGAGGACCC